TAGCGATTTTCACTTTCATTAGAGAACTGACATCCACTTAATCAAACCACTAACATGTTTAATGAGGTGAACATTAAAGTTCATTCTTGCTTTTTTTTATTGACACAATTTTAGGTCATCTTGTAGTATTTGGGAATTTGTGACTTATATCAGTGAATTGATTATCAACATATTTTAAATGAGAGGAGAGGACTCTAGGCATTTTTTTAAAAGTTGCGATGCTTTATAATTGAGGAAATTCAATCATGCATTCCCATCCATTGTTCATTTGTTTGATAAAGCGCACATGTACTCCATTCTACCGTAAACATTAGAAAGCTTAGCTGCTTTCTTTGAGAAATACCTGCAACACAACACCTTCCTTCCTGCACTGCAGAGGTTGGTTTTGGCATGCCGTATTTGGAGACTGCTAGTATACACTCTTACAGAGTTAACTGCTTTTTGAAAAGGAAATCTCCTTCTTAACTTTAAAGAATTTATATTTTAAGATTTCCATGTCTGAATTACATCTGCGCTTTTTAGTTGGATTTATTTTTTGGCATTTGCATAGCCTCATTGGAACATATATGCAAAAATAAGTACCCCAGGATTACAGAGTGGAGTGCAGCCCTCTGACGTGTGACTAAGTGGAGAGAAGTTGGGTGCCTGTTTTCATGATGTATTGAGGCCGCCGGAGTCAGAGGAAGGAGAATGACCAGGGAACTAGCGTTCCCCTGTGAGAAAGACGATCCACATTGTTCTGGATCTCTCTAAACAGACCATTCCGGACCCAGTGGGGCTAGGGAAACCTTTGGCCACAGAAGTCTTCATATACTATGGATTCATTTACCTTCCAGGCTCCCCCACTGCAGCCCTCGCTGTCATTTATCTGACAGGACCAGTCCCTCCTGAGCAGCATTTGGCGCTGTGGAGAGCACACGTTCCTGCAATGAGGCTGCTGCAAATAATGTTGTCATTCTAACTGAGTTCTACCATTCTACGGTAACCAGAGAACAATACGGAGAAGACTAGTAACCTGAGGTTACCTGCCTGCAAAGATGTGTGTTAGCTGCGTTCACAAGTATGAGGTAATCCAGAAGGCAACGGCTGAAGCAGGTGGGGGAGTTCCACTTGTCCAGAATTTCAAGAAGAAATCCAACTCAATGAGACGAAATTGAAAGGACCTTAGATTTCCTTTCCTATAACCCATACACGACACAGTCACCATAAAGAGAAGTTGCTTTGGGCCCCGCCCTTGGGGAGGGTCCAGTCTCTAAAGGTAGATGTGCGTGAGTTGAGCGAACATTTGCCTCATAGTCAGAAAGCAAAAGAGAAGAGGAAGTCAGGGAACCCTCCCTTTGGGGGGCAGGTCCCTAATGACCTAAGGGCACCCCCATGACCTTCAGTGCTCCACCAGCAGAGCAACCTGCCCAAGCCTTTAACCCACATCCAACAGGAAGACTACAGCAGTAGTGAGTTTGGGGAGATGCTCTCCTCAGACACCTGTCTCTGCAGAGGAAATACCGTGTTGACCATTGCAGAAGGGTAACACGAATTAATAAAAGGCCCTGTGACAGATATTGGGTGAATATCAGAAAAGCAAAGCCGCTGGCCACTGTGTCTCAGGCCGAATGGGCTGATGCTGTCTCCAGGAGCTCTCAGGAAGCCTCAGACTGTAAACCTCTCCTCAGCATGGCTGGAGAATGAATACCTCCTACTGAGACCTTGCCCCTGTCTCTTATGCCTCTCTAATGTCGCGATTAAAAAGGTGAGTGAGCTATCATTTTCTTTAAGGCTGATTCAATCTTGTGGCCTTGGACTCATAGAGATCCATCTACCTCTTAACCCTGAGTCCTAGGATGGACTGCTGCTGGGATGAAAGGTGTGGCTTGTGGCTGACTTTGCTTTCTGAATCCTCAGGCAAGCTTTAATACATTGTAAGTAATATAGCACCACAAAGAAGGTCTCTTGTCAAGGGTGATCCGGTCCCACAAAGTGTCTCCTGGGATTCTGGTTCCGAGTTGTAGCGACCATGGGCTGTCATTTGTCAGCAGAGGCTACTGCCCATCTCCCAAAGAAAAGAAAACTTCCCCTGAAGAACAGAAGGCAAAGCCCGCTTTAAGGCCCCTTGGACTGCTTCTTTTGTTTTTGAGAGACTTAACTACCAGTCAGTGGGCAGGATTCCTTTAATCTCAACACTATGCTTCCACCATCTTCACAGACCCAGAGCCAAAGGTTGTGTGTGTGTGTGTGTGTGTGTGTGTGTGTGTGTGTGTGTGTGTGTGTTTCTGATCTGGGCGACATCTTACAAAAATAAACGTCCTGGAAAATGAAGATAAGAGGAAAGTTTTGTGACTTATCGCTCTAGAGGCAGCAGATTCCTGGACCCTTCCTCCCGGGTGATAAAAAGGGCAGCGTACCCCGTGAATGGTTCTTCTTACTGGGAGCCGAAATCAATGCTGTTGCTTGCGGGACAGGTGCAGGAGAAATAAAGCCCCTCAGTGCTGTCCCCGGGCTCACAGAGCCATGAGATCACACAGTTCCCACAGGCCACAAGCAAGCTGCCAGCTCGCCCATCTGGAAGCTGCTCTGGAGCGAACCCCCCAGGGGAGCAGGGACCCTGCTCCTCTGCCTCCACCCTTCCCAGACTCGATGCAGGCAGGGGGAGAGCAAGTCCTCGGGGCAGAACGGCCTGTTGTGCCGCCCAGAAGGGGACCACAAGTGCCAGCTTTACCAACTGGGCCTTAGTGCTGGCCAGGGATCTGTGAGAGTCTGAACAAAAGATGGGAGAGTCCTGTCTACGGAATGAAAACCTGTGCGCCCAACGCAGGCCCAGGACCCGGGGAAAATACAATCAAGACTTTGTACTCTGTGGTCCTTTAAATCCTCATGCCAGCTCGAGCCAGGGTTTAGGAGATGTTCTCTGGAATGGTGTATTACTCGTCTGGAGTTAGCCTTTATAAACGGCAGCTACTGCTTAGATGCGTGCGTGTGTTCTCCAGTTATATTTAAAATAAATCCCTAACGTGTGTTAGGTTCACTGAGGTGTTCTCAAAGACGGATAGAATTACTATTTGTATGCGTCTTGATTTTTAAACAGAATCTTGCCATGTCGCCCGGGCTGTCTTCAAACTTAGCTATCCTCCTGCCTCGGCCTTCTGAGTGTTGGAATTTGAGGTGGCTGTCACCGTGCCCAGCTTAGGGTTAAAATGATTTTTCTTTTAATTTAGAGAACAAAAGTATTGGGGTAAAGCTGAGTTGGGTGTGGTGGTGAATGCCTTTAATTCCAGCACTCTGGAGGCAGAGATAGACAAGAAGGCAGAGCTCTGTGGGTTTGAGGCCAACCTGTTCTACACAGAAGGTTTCGGGTTAGCCAGGGCTACCTTGATAGCGTCTCTCAAGAACAAAACAACAACAAAAACCTGTATAAAAACAAAATATAGAAAATAACAGTCAGATCTTGTTAGGGTTTATTTGTTCACACTGTAAAGATATGCGTCTGCCTAAGGTAACATCTGATTGGTTTAGTAAGAACTAAATGGCCAATAGCTGGGCAGGGGAGATAGGTGGGACTTCCTGGGAGAGGAAGAGGAGGAGGAATCTAGGTACCAGATTACACTGGGGAGAGGACAGTGAGACTCTAAAGAAGTTAGGCATACCATACAGAGCAGAGGTAACCCAGCTATTAATAGAAGCGAGGTAATTTGAGTTATAAGAGCTAGTTGGGGACAGCTAAAGGCCAAGGTTTAATAATTAATAATTAGTCTTCTTGTCAATATTTGGTGACTACTGATCCAAGAAAGCCTGACAAGAAATCTTGCTACAACATCTTTTGTCTGCTACTCCTGCTAGTTTTGACAATCCCTAAGTCTTTAGGTAGAACGGAGTGGTTTGATGGCTAATTGAGATTTATTAGTTTCAGCCCAATAATTGACAAACTGAAGTGACTTGCACAGGATATGAGGTAGTTTGCCTTTGTGCATCCTGTAGAAATACTTTTGGCAAACCAAATGAATCTGGCAGACAGTCCAGAGTCGGCCAAGTGGAGTAAGCAGAGTTTACTTATGCAAATCCAACTCGTGAAAGACAACACTTGAGAGGCAGGCTGCATGTGGTTAGTCAGGCTCCTCAGTCACATCACTAACTATCTCCCAGGTTTCCTAGACAAGCCCACAGTGGCCTGACTCCCTCCCTCCCTCCCTCCCTCCCTCCCTCCCTCCCTCCCTCCCTCCCTCCCTCCCTCCCTCCCCCCTCCTTCCTTCCTTCCCTCCTTTCTTAGTATATAATCTTACGTCCAATGTCTAGGGATATTTTATTTTTGATAGCAGGCAGTATTACACAGAAGGTAAAATAAGCACAGCACTCTACTGTCAGAAAATAAGCGACTCCTGCTAATCCTGAGGGTGCCAACTATGTTCAAGCATGAGGGGCTGCTGGCCCCACAGTGCCGGCACGCAGCACCTTCACAGGGAGGCCTCAGCCCTCATGCTCCCAGCCACACCAGGCAGCAATCAGACAAGACCCCATTTTACAACGGGCGTAATGGCCACATCGCATAACTAACACGTGTCAAATATATAATTCAAAGGAGAAAAAAAATATGGCTAAACCAGAGTTGTACAAACAGCACCGCAATCCCATTGTAGGACACATCCATCTATTCAAAGATGCCCATAGGTCTGCCTGCAACCCATCCTTGATCCCCCTCCAAACCCGGGCAGCCACTCACCTGATTTTGTCTGCTTGCGCTCCCTTTGGGGACATTTTTGTACCAACATAACCACACAGGACGCACAGAGCCTTCTGCACCTAGCTTCTTTCACTCGGCGTTTTCAGTAGCCAAAGCTTTTGAGGGGCACCCATGGCAAAGCCTACACCTTTCTTTCTCTCCTCTTGACCTTTGCCATGTAGCTATGGCACCCCGTGTCCATCCGCCACCAGCTTGTGGGCATTAAGCTGCTCCCACCTTTTGACAGTAACAACAAATAAGACGCCAAGACTCCTCGTGTTGTGTGAACCCGTATTTTAATTTCCAGATTGGTCTCAAAGTGGCTCGCCTATCTCCCGTTCCCAGAGCTACGCACGGGCATCCTATCGTTTGATCACCGGTGCCAAACTGGGCTATTGACACCGAGGTGGACTAGGTGGACCGGCCACCCTCATGTGCGCTTTTCGCGGGAGCTGGTTGGAGCTGTGAGAACCGTGACCAGGGCCACACCATGGCAAGCAGGGAAACGAGGGCTTCACGGTCCCTCTGCGGTTCTCAGCTGGAGTCGCTGGGTGCCCTAGAGGAGGGAAGACAGGACACAAGGTGTGCGCTGCGTTTGGGGGTGTTAAATAAATAACGAAGTGGGCATGACCTTTCCAGGGAGAAGGATGACGGGGCGCAGAGGCGGCCCCTTGAGGGGTCCGGATGTGAGAGCCTGTGCAGAGTGAAAACGAGAGAATCGCACCGGGAAATGGGCAGCCGCGGGGAGGGGGGGGGTAGACGGGACAGGAGTCTCATGGACAAGTCAAGTGACCAGAACCTCTCTCAACTTGTGGGGTTAGTCCTCGGAAAGGAGCTCCAATGAAAGCTATAGGAGGAGTTCAGGGCCGCTGGAGTCCACAGTCATCTTCAGAATGTCATCAGGGACACCTGCTGGGAGGAAGCCAAGGTTGGAGGTTAATTTGAGTCTCAGTTTGGTGGGACTTAGAGTCGCTGCAGAAATGCCTCCAGGTGAGTCTGTGACCCTGACTGCAGAGAGGCCTAACCTGGGAGGGAAGAGTCGTCCTGAATGTGGACAGTTGTGGCAGGGTCCCAAACTGAAGGAAAGGGAAAGCGGGCTGAGGGCCAGCGTTCATCTCTCGCTGCTTCCTGACTGCAGATGCCATGTGTCACGTGAATGGCCTTCATGCTTTCCCCCACCACGACAGAATCCTTAAATCAGGAGTCCAACTAAATCCTTCCATCTCACATTGCTTTCGCTGGGCGTTTTACCGCGGCAATAGGAAAAGAGAGTAGCCCCTGGGTCCGGTGACTGACGTCTTCCCGTTAGGTCCCCATCTCAAAGACTCCACAACCTTGCAGAGCAATTCCTGGGACTGGATCCGGTGGTACACACGTGAGCCTTGGGGGTCACTCAAACCGCAACACCTGGTTATGGTAATGTTAAGAGAAGCTTTTTCTTTGCTAGCTGCTTTGGTTTATCCCCTGCCAGCCGCCTGGGCTCTGCCGCTTTGTAGTCCCCAAATAAACACACAAGACGCTGTATTAATTATGAAGCTGTTGGCCTTGTTTGTTTCTTACTGGCTAGCTCTGACTTAAGTAATTACCCCATAATTGTTAATCTAAGTATGTCTCTTACCGGAGAATAGTTCCGGGCTCCTACCCCATGGCGTTACATCTCGAACTCTCCTGTGTTTCTCCTTCCCAGAATCCTCCTGGACTCCTAGCCCCACCTATCTAGATTCCTATTGGCCAGCAGTAATTTATTGACATATACACAGGACTTCCCCAACATGGTAATTTGACTTTAATTCCCAGACAAGCGTTTCCCTACTGTATGGCAACCTGGCTGAGGGCTACGGTACCGTGCCTTGCTTCACTTAAATCTCTGTCTTTGAGAAGCCAAGTTCTTGACCTATGTGATCGACGGATGGGTGCCAAGTATCTGATGCTGATTATGTATCTAGGTCCTGATGCTGATGTTCCTGCCATTCAGGGGAGTGTGTTTCCCATAGTCCCTTCCGCTGGGGAAGGGCTGGCTGATGCCGTCTGCAGTTTCTGCCATCCATCCATTGTGTTCACAGGGGGAAGATGATGACTGAGTCGCCGGTGGATGTAGGATTCAGGACAGTTGGCTGGGTTGGGCCTCAGCAGTTTCCACTTTTTTCTAGTTAATTTTCACTGATGTAAAAGATTCCCTCCGTCTGTTGCTGGAAAACCAGGCAGGCTGGTCAACGGTGACCCCTGTACAAGAGTCAAAGGGACCCGTCAGGAGGGCATTCATTAGAGGTAGGAAGACATGTTCATTTTAAGGTCATTTTCTCCACAAGGATGGCTCACAGGGGACTCATCTGGGCAGAGGTATCTTTTAAAAGTACTGTTTTCTGCCCCTCCACACCCACGAGACCTACGGAATTGTGACGTATTGGGAGCAGACCTCCCTGAACTTCAGTTTTGAAAAGCATCTCGGAAAGGGATAGGACTGTTGCCTGAGGAGAAGAAAACTTAGTGGGTATGGTTGGTGTTAGATTTGCTGCACGGGGCCCGTGGCAGCAGGCGTTCCCCGCTCTTTTTGCTCGTTTGTTGTTTTGTTTGTTTTTCAAGACAGAGTTTCTCTGTGTAGCTCTGAAGCCTGTTCTGGTGCGCTCTGTAGACCAGGCTGGTCTTGAACTCACAGAGGTCCGTCTGCCTCTGCCTCCCCAGTGCTGGGATTAAAGGCCAGCGCCACCACTGCGGTGGCTGCACGGCTCTTACAGGAGCTGGTTGAAGATTTTAAGAGTCGTTATTACCATCGCCTCCAGGGAAAGGACCACCACCAACTATTACTGTTTCTGTGTGGGTTTCCATTCAGCCCAAATCTTTCGGGTGTTCAAATCTCTCACTTGCTCTTAGAGGTGCACATTTCCCTGGAAGTCCCAAGGTGTTTCCCATGGTCTTAGAATTCACTGAAGTCATTTTTTAAAAATCCTCTGATGTTTCACAAGCAGATGAGAATACGAGCAAACACGTACTTAGATTAGTTCATTTAACTTCTCTCAGCAAGCTTTGCAAGGTAGGATAGCCCTTTGTGTAGTTATTAAAATAGAGACTCAGGTAAGTGGCCTCACACAGTTAAACGGCTAATCAGACACTTTTTACTTTTTCACTGAAACTAATTATTTCTTTAAAAAATTTATACTACATACATATACACATATATATATATGTGTGTGTGTGTGTGTATGAATGTATATGAGTGTTTGCCTCCGTATGTGTGTGAGGTCACAGAGGGCATGGGATCCTTTGGAAGTTAAGGTTGGGAGCCACCATGTCAGCTCTAGGAACTAAGCCTGGGTCCTCTGAAACAGCAGCAGGGGCTCTTCCCCACTGAGGCATCTTACCAATCCCCAAAGTGATTATTGCTATATTTAAACTAAAAGTATTTATATATAAAAAGGGTAAGAAGGCATGGGCAAAGAGTCTGGATCTAGCCTTAGCTATCCTTATTAGTTATATGAGCATGACTGGTCAATAACTCCCTAGTTTTCATTTCTTCAGTAAAGTGACATTCCAGGGCATTCTAGGGTTTGTTTGCCCTAGTTCATAAACTTTTCCTTACTAATCTTTTTTTTGTATACATTAATACTTTAAACACATCCAAAGTGCACATCAAAGAGTGATTACCACTAAAGCTTTGTTTCAAAAACAAAATATTAATGGATTACATTCCTACTGGAACTGTGTTTGTACAAATTCGCTTTTACTGGATTGAAGGATACATATTTTAAAGATAGGCATTATAGGTCGGAGGGCTTACTTAATTTTCATCTTCTTTACACCTTATGAAACAGGAGGAGTCCCCTTCCCCCAGCACCTTGAGTCCCTGGCTGCCAGAAATATCGAATAGCTTGACTAATCTAACTGAAGGAAAACGCTTCCTGTTTTAAAACCGAGGCGAACACTTAACAGAATGGTTCGTTTTGCGGTGCAAACTTCCCTGTTTCTCTAGATGGGTTTTCCAGGGGGGTGATAGAGAATCCTATAAGCAAGCCTGCCCCAAATGTTTCCTTTTCCTCGCGATCCAAAGCACAGAGGAATCTTGGAAAGACAATTGCAGGGGTTCTTGTGTCACTTCACGGGCCTCAAGCTCCCACAAAGAGGACTCCTTATGCTTTAATTTCTCTTTATTTTCTGACTGTAAAGACCCTCGGGGTAAATGCCAGCCCACAATCCCGCTGTTATATGGTTACTGTCAGCCTGCTCATATGATGCTTCCTGTTCATTAGGCCTCCTTTCATCTGACTACAATGTCCAGGCTTTGCTGCAATTCTCCGTCAACGCCCATCTCTTCAATAGCCTGTGAATGGTATTAAATGGTGTTTATGCTTGCTATTGTTGCCTTTTGTGTGGTTTGTCTAATTCACAGAGAAAAGTCTGCCTTTGTGGTCGAGACCAGCTACGTCACGGCACACCACGGCTCCTTCTGATGGGACCGGGTCCTGCTGAGCGATAGCATTACAGGGCCCCGGCTTCTTGGCAACACAATCCCGCATTCTTCTGCAGTCAATTCTCTCACAGGCAGGCTGGTTTACTCTTTTTATTAACAGGTAGGGGGGAAAGATAAAGCACAAACAAATACCAGGCCCAGAGACAAAGCAGAAAAGGAGGCTAAATTCAACTGATTTGCAACTCAGTCAGCCAAGGCGCGGGCAAGAAAGCCAGGGAAAGGAAACCCAGATTCATTCTGTCAGCGGCCGGGAGACCCAGGTGTGTTCAAGGCCGCAGCAAATATTTCGAATTTCGGGAGTAAGATTGCATTATGGTTTCGACGTATTGTTTAAAATGACATTTAATCCCAGAGTCACAACTCGCCCGAGCTTTCTCTAAAGTGCTCACAAAAGAGAGAGGATATTGTATTGATGATCACATTATCCTCTGGTGGAGAGGCGTCTGCAGGGCAGGTAAGTTGCTGGTTGTGAAAAGGGCTTTTGATGTAAGAAGATCACTGTGGGCTTGGGGTAACTGATTCCCAGAAGCTCTGGCTTTCCCTGCTGCCGGTCACTCCGTAATCCCTCTCCCAGATATCTGCTATCTTTTTCCACCTCCAGTGGTGGCTTATGTTTGAGTCTGTGTTCTTCACCTTTGAAAAGAGCAGTGCCTGCAAGAGTTCGGAGAGAGCAGAAAGGGGAGGATTGTCCTCCCCTTGGCTGGTAGTGGCCCATGTTTCTCAGGATCAAAAGTTAATTTTTTTAGTTAAAAATTTAATTCACGTACAAAGCAGCAGGCTTTCTTATAGCCTTTTCAGCCTTGTCTTGATTTGGCTGACCATTCTCCCATCCCCTTCTTCCCCTCTGTCTTCCAAGAGGCTGCTTCTACCCCAGCCCCTTCACCTTCATGCCCCTTCAGTTTTCTGGTACCCTCCCTGACCCACCTTCTCACTGACTCAGGCCCTTTCTGGTTCCCTAGGCCCTACACACACTCACTACAAATAGACTAATGACGTTTATACACTGGGGTCCACATGTGACCTGAAAACGCTTTTCTGAATAGTGGGTCAGTAGCTTTCCTTGAGTCTCCACTCTCTGACGCCGAGATCAGTCCAACCGGTAGTCCTGAACCCAAGCAAGAAAGACTAAACAAGTAACCACGCTGAAAACAGTCACACGGTGTTTTCTGGGAAGGAAAGAGGGTAAATGATAGGACTATACTGAAAAGAATAAGGACAGAAGGGGATTGTTTTAAAGATGGACGATTTTAATTTCTGAAAATTTAGTTCTTTTCCTTTAACCTCAAGAGGTTAAGTAGAAAGCATCAACCCTCTTCCTTCTAATCCAAGAAAGGCACAATAAGGAGTTTTCAAGGACAAGGCAGGCAGTCTTTCTAAGATGGGTCATCTCAACCCACGCAAAGCATCTCCTCTAGCTCAAGTGACACACATGCATTGCACCTGGTATGACTCCAGCATCAAGAAGGTTGTCCTGGTAGGTTTCAAACGGCAGGAGGGATCTGCAGTCTACCCGGGGAAGGGAAGTCGCACCGTAGCAGGGGTTATGAAAGAGCAAGTATGTCAGGAAGACAGCAAGCCCCGGTCAGTAGAAAACGCCATTGCCTGAAGACGAGAGCGGACCTGGGGAATTTATTTGAACTTCAGTAAGGAATCCCCGGGAATGTGCCCCATCCTGAACAGCAGCTCCTCTCGCTGCCGTCACAGCAAGTGATGGAGTGACAGTGAATTTGCTGTCCTGGTGGTCAGTCGGCTGGGGGAGGGCAGGGGGAATGGGTATAACCAGAGAATGACCAGAGGAAATGGGATGTCCTGGAAGAGGTGAAGCCAGACTCCTCTGCGTGAGTGGGTGGGACCGGGCCATACAATTGCAGGCATCTGGAATCAGTGAAAACGATGACCCCTTGAACAAGAAGGGGCTTCATGTAGTCATTCTTGCTTCTGTTCACAGAAGTGATCTGTGCTTAGTGCGAACCATCGTATTTACTAGACACAACATGGTGCCAGGGACTCATGGAAAAACGTGATATTCTTTACAATGGCACGCTTGGTTCTCTAGCCCAGAATTATCTCAGCCTCTATCGCTGGGATTACTCAGTTCCCTGGAGGGCTGAAAGATTAGTTGAAAAGAAGAGGGAATTTGCGTTCCTAGCTTGAGCTCAGTTCCCTTTCTCTGCCTTGGTACCTCATTCACCCT